AAAAGGGCCAAATTCTTCAAAGTCAAACGAAAGAAATAATGTCACGCCTCATAAATTTTATGAAAAACGAGGACAAAATACCATTACACAAATAAAGAGAGAAAATTTTAGCTGCTACAGGGATTTATAGAAGCAGTTATTCTAGAATTAAGAAGATGGCTGGTGAATTAGAAAGTGGAGTTAGTACTTCATTTTCACAAAGAGGATATAAAAAAAAAGTACAGTTGTTGAATCTATAAGGCCTGAAGAGTTAGAAAAACTCAGAGGTATAATCCATGATTTTCATATTATTGAGAAAAGACTACCAACTCTAAATTTTAAGTTACTATTTTGATTATAATGGCAATGTATTTAATATAAATATTATTTTAGGTATATTACAAAAAATGAAGGATTGTTGTTTTGAATACCGGGGCAGCATCTCATCACTTAGGAAAATATTATTAAACATGGGTTTTAAGTAAGTATAAATAACGTTATCTAAAAAAATCAAAATAAAATGATACCAAAATAATTAATTTCTTATAGTCAATTTTTGTACGTATAAAATTAAAATGTTTATTTTTTCAGGTGGAAAAAAAAATGAAGACAACAGATCTGTTCTGTTGGAATCCTACAACATTACGAATAAGATGACAAATTATTTAAAATCCTTAATACATGATCGGCAAGAGGGCAGAACTATTTATTATTGTGATGAGACCTATTTACATAGTAGTCATACACATTCGAAAGGATGAACCGATGGCAAAGGCAAATTCAAAACTCCAATGAGCAAGGGGAAAAGGCTTATAATGTGGCACGTAGGGAATAAGAATAATTTTGTAGAAAATGGACTGTTGATATTTACTTCAGGTAATAATCTATTTTTTATAGAAAATTATTTATTATTTGCGTCTTTACCTACTTCATTAAAATCCATGATGCTTAACAATCGAAACTTATGATCAGCTTAAATTTAATTGAAACTGTTAAAGTATCTAATTAATAAGTAATTTAAGTACTTAATGTAGTGGTTTATTTTATTATCATCAGTTTAGTTAAAAGATCTTTACCTGTACTTATTCCTTTATTGTTATACAAGGGAACGTTTTTGGTAATAACTTTTTCTTAGGATTATTATAATAATAAGTCTTATCATCTTGAAAAAATATTTCTTCTAAAAACATATTTATTTTTTAAGTGATTTAAAATTCCTAATAATATAATTTTTGCTTAACTAAGCAATTATTTCATTTAAAAGAGTTTTTTTGTAAGTTTAAGTATCATACAAAAATAATTATGAAAAATATACTTGCATTATAGATAATAAATTCTTTTTTACTTTTTTTCAGGGAAAAAGACAGGAGATTATCATGATGAAATAAACTGGAATAATTTTCCCAATGGGTTAAAAGGCAGTTACTACCAAATCTTCCTCCAAGGTCTGTACTTGTAATCGATAATGAAAGTTATCATAATGTTCTGAAAAATCGATTACAATGCAGACCAAAAAAGCAGATTTAATTAACTAGCTCGTTAAAAACAATATACCACATGATGCTAAAGTGACCAAACCAGAACTGTTCACATTAATAAAAGTTCACAGACCTCCACCGAAATTTCTTTTAGACGATTTTCTCGAAGAACATGCACACAAAGTTCTACGATTACCTCCATATCATCCCGAATTAAATTTCACAGAAAAAATATGGGCAACAGTAAAAAATTGAGTGGGTCAACATAACACAACATTCAAGTTGGATAATGTTGAAAAGTTGGCAAGAGAAAAATTCCGAAGTATAACGCCGGAGGAATGGGCAAACATGGTGGACCATTCCGCGAAATATGTGGATGCATATATTTAAAGAGAACACCTTATGGATGAATTTACAGATTCCCTCATATTTAGTGTAAACACGGGGTCGTTCGATGAGTGGGAATCCGATATTTCCGACTTGGAAGATGATGAAGATAAAGATGATGAAAATGTTTAAAATTATACAAATTAAATTAAAATATATGATTTGTTTAAACTTTTAGTTGTTTTATTTATTTGAAGTTCATCAGCAATTTAACTAACGAATAGTTAAAATTTAACATTAACTTATTAATATGTTCGATTTAAAATATTTTATTAATGTACACACGCCACTGCTAAGATATCAGGTACTCCTACCGCAGCACATTTTAGCCCAGCGCCATCAACTTAAGCTCCACAAAGTTATGACGTACTGCGCGAACTGTGGCATAGCTATGACGAAATGTGTTCTTCACAAAAAAATCGAGCTCTACCTAAAAGAATAAAAGTATGTACTTCAGAAACAATAAAAATAAAAATACCGTAAAAGCCTGTAACTTCGGATAATATCCATAGTTTGGAGAAATGGTACGGTTTAATATCGGGAAACTATCAGTTAATTTTAACTTAGACGCAGAATTATGGAGTAATCCGCTTCCAAACTGATTGTTATGCATGTAACATTAAAATCGTATTCAGTACTTATTTGTGGACTGGTAAAGTTGTGTAAAGTTTTCACAATTTCTAAGCTGGGCGCATACTTTAAAGTTTCGTAATTTATTTTATAGTTATATTTGTAGGCCAAAACTGTGATACTGTTATGTGAGCCATTTCATTATTCAGTCGTGCTCTAACCCTACAAGTCCCTTTCTGTCTTATTTGGCCTTTGAGGCTCAACTTGTCTGATTATTATACATGATTAAACCCCTTAAGACCAAACCTATGGGACGACTATGGTGGAGACACTTTCGCAAACATTCCAGGGTCAACGAGATACTATTTCTAGAACGTGATAACGTTTCTGGTACATACTGGCATTTTTGGTGGGGGAGCATTCTAGACCACCAATTTGTATATAAATTGGTGGAGGAGAGCCATCAGAATCAGTTATTATATGGACAGTGAAGATAAATAGTAATTAGTAGATATACAGTGGTGAATATAAATAGTGATCAGTTTAAAGACATTCGAAGTATACATAAATTAAAATAGTATTGTTTAAAATAAATAAGTGTTTAAATAAATTATTAATAAATAAACTGTTGTTTGAAAATAAACAAACATCACAATACATTAAGGTAATTTATTACGTTTGTAATGGTACGTTTCTACGTATTAAAAAAATGTTTAGTTTCTCTAGAGACACTTGAATAAAAAACATTATTTTGTGCCCTAATTTCAGACATTTGATTCCTAACTTTGGACGTTCGAATTATTTTTTTATATTTTTTACAATCCAAAGATGGCTCCTATTAATAAAAAAACAAAGAGTTAATACCAAAGGACAAAGTATTATGGTTACTCCACAGACACAATAAAAGAAGCACTCGTTGAGATTACTAATGCAACGCTGACTTTGAGGGCAGAAGCTAAAATATATCAAGTCTTTATATGATAGATACAAAAGGCTTCATATTTTGAATAACGGTCGGCAACTGTTTTTAGTAAAATTGACGAGTCATTACATCCGGAATACTAACAGCCGCAAAATGGGGATATTCTATAACTACAATGGATCTAAGATATATAATTTAGTGATTTTGGACAAAAACCGAAAAGTTGAGAAACATTTTTATTAATAACAAATCTGATTCCAAATAGCTACAAAAATGAACAAGAGGAGGAAGATGACCAAGAGGTGGAGGAAGAAGAAAAAGGTGTAGAGGCAAATAAAAAAGAGGAAATCGAACCGGAGGATGCATTGATAAATGAAGCAATGTACGAAGAAAGATTTTCTAATAAAATCGAAGAAGTCACATAAGACTATCAAGATCAACGAGCATTCAAAAACCTTAAAAGATCTTCCATTTGGGGAATTCGGAGTGGTTAAGCTTATATACAATAAAAACTTATAGACTCATACAAAAAAAAATTATTGGCATAATATTTAAAATAACAGACGGTTCTATGTATCAAGTAAGTTGCTTGCATCAAAAAGAAAAAGTATATGTATTTCCTGATGTCGGAAGATATTATTTTAGTAAATTGTAACCAAATACGCCATGTTTTAAATTATTGTCCTCAAGGAAAGCATTTATTTAAAGGTTCTATTTTCTAATAAATACCAGAATATTTTAAATGTTGCTATTCAGGAATAAATTCCAGAACAGTAGAGGTTAAAAACAAATCAACACCATTAAAAAAATAAGGTAAATAAATTACTTTCAATTTTTCTTTAATTTGTTTTCACCTTCTGATGTTCAGGAATTTATTTATAATTGTCCTCCTTGCAAATCATATGGTATAGGTTCCTTGACAACCGACAAAAAATTGTATTTAAATAGAAATTTATATACAATTAATTGTTGTAAAAATTTGATTGACATTATTTCTTATAGAATGACCTTTCTGTATTAAGTAAGTTCTTTTATGTTCTTATGCTGTATAAAAATAATTAAAAACCACTCTTAACTGTTCACGTGTTGTCTGTTGAAAACACAAAAAAAGCTTTTATTCAAAAATTTTGTATTTTTATTGAAGTTGCACATTTTTGTTAATGTCCAACCTAAAAAGTCAAGTTAAGAACATGTAAGCCTTTTTAATTGTTTGTATCTCTGACTATAATCAAAATTTCGCCTATTTCGGAAATTTTCAAGTGTAAATGAATTTATGTGTGACTTTAGGGACACACTATATTTGCAATTAAAATAAGTATGAACGCATTATTTTTATTTACTTCTTTTTTCATTTTAAGAGATTATTTGGTAAAAGAGTTTCCTGAGGAGACAAAAAATGGGACAACTCAACATGCTTATGGCCAAATTCTTTTTCATCAGTCACTTAAATAAGTCAATTGTAAACAGAGTAACATTTGAGAAAGAAGAATGTGCAAGCTGTAAAATTCGTATTAAATTTAAAACTAGTAATTATTTAGAAAATATTTTAATTACATTTTGATAAAAGAATGATTACTAAGGAACCTTCATATTTTTAGATAACTATGAGTTAACAGTAAAACGGATGAAGAAACTAAAAAATATGTCTTCTTTCTCTTCAACTGATGAAATTTCTAACAAAAAAACGAAAAATAATAAGGAACCGTAACTTTGATGATTATCATGCCATTCGAGTTATCGATTCTAATAGTGATAAGGATAAAGGACCACCTTCTTTCTCAACCCTGATTAGGGAATCTGTTAAAAATCAAGGCGAAAAAGGGTCAAGAAAGAAGTTGACTGAAACTGTCAATCAGAAAGTTGATAACTTCCAATTTGCCTTCCGATCAACTCCAGGAACTGACGGATGCTCCCAAGACCAGACCCTAGTGAATGAGCCAGTGATGACTCTTCGCCAATTAAATAAATGCTGCAAAAAGACCAATGGTAAGAAATTGTAACAATGTTAAATTATAAAAGAATACTTTATGAACTAATTAAATTTAAATAAAGTCAAAAAAATAGTTTCCGGAAACTTTAAAATTTGCTTTGTTTTAAAACAAATATTAGAAACCTTTTTACATTTGATTTGTATGATTAATTTCTATGTTACACATTGTTATTTCAAAGATCTTGCCTAGAATGAAAAATAAAATCTTTCGTGTCTAACTTGAGTCATTGAATGATTACACCCGTTGGTAGACCTTATGTCTCAGTAGGCCTTCTGGCTAGATTGGGTTTGTATCACAGGCATAATCTTATTAGTAATACACTTTGTGCATAAATAGTTACACTTAATTTTTAACTAGTGTAATAAAATATCTGAAATAATTGACACCTAACAAATTTAACAATTGTTTCATTTCTCTTTTCAGTAATTGTTTAAAATATGCTCACAAAGCAAGAGATAGTGGCCAAAGATATTGATTACATATTTATTTATTTATCTATTTATTTGTTACACCATCCAACAGTAATCACCATTTACTGGGTGGAAAAGACAAAACATTGGAATAAAAATACAAATACAAAATTGTTAAAAAGCTATGCAATACAATGTAAACATCCAGAAAAAAAACTGACCGAACACAGGATAAAAAAATGGTTGTCTACATTGCTAAAGAAAAAACATTTTTAATCTATTTTTTACATGCAATAATATCCAAGCTAAATAGGTTGATCATAGGATTATGGATATTTTTAAAGCATATTAAAATGATTGAGTATTAATAGATATGAGTTATCATAACATGTTAAAAAGTGTACAAAATTGTTGAAATAATAAATTAAATATCCATGCAGTTGTGGGCGGAATGGACCAGTATCAGTGAGATTTGAACTTTGCAATCCAGCTTCTTCGATGTCAGAAAACCTTAGTTAGTAACAGTCAGCTGGTTACTAATCTAGAATCTGCATCAACCAAACTAGTCACTAGACACTAGAAACTTTTGTATTGATGGCAAAACTTTTAATAAGCCTTTCCACTATCTTATTTTTAGGACTATATTTCTTTTCGTTTAATAGAAGGTAATTATATTATCCTTGGATATTTGTTTACTAATAAATCAATTTTTTTAATTTTTTTTTAGAAAAAAGGTTAACATATGCAAGTACCCAAAAGTCGTACCACTAACTAAGAATAGCTAGAGCATAAAGTAAGGTGAAATCTTTCAATTGACGTAAAACACTACAAAACGTCAAGGGAACACTGCACATGAGAGTAACCGAGTTTTATCAGAGTAATTTTTTAATAAATGCGTTAAACAATTCAAATTTCATACTAAACCTCCTTTTCTTCGATTGGCGTAGAAATTTTAAATGTGCGATTAATAAAAAATTAAGTTCTACACCTGTGGATTAATATTATTGAATAATTTTAATACATATTTTTTTATCACATAAAAGTGTCAACGTACCAAATTTAAAAAGAATCGCATCAGGCGTTTTAAAATTCTGTGGTCGGCCGGCGCTTAAAAGGTAATAAGTCGATATTATACATTTTTGGAGAATGGCGCTGGAAAATTTTGAGACACGTTAATAAGGATTTTTAGAATCCAAATTGACGATCTTTTTAGAAGATTTGGTCCTGTAAAAATTAAAAAATATGTAAAAACTATTTTATGATACAAAATTTGACTGTTTATATTTAATTATGTCGTTTTGTCTTCCGCAGTTATGCTTGTATTATTATATATGTTTTTTTGTACCTTATTTTTATTACTTTACAACGTATATAGACTTGAATCCTTTTAACTGCCTACAATATACATTTTTCTAAACGTATCTTGACTAGAAACTCCATTTACGTAAAAAACGTCTTATGACCTTTTAAGCGCCGGCCACAGAATTATAAAGGAGAATAAATGATTTAAAAATTGTTACTTTAAGGCCCTCTAGCGACCAAACTGAACAACTTTGTACTAAGGTAAGTTTACTTAAAATGGCTTATTTTGGTCCAAGGAGTATGTAGTATGTTTTTATTAAGACCTTTTACATTTTTTATTTTTGTACTTTTCTTAGCTGTGGTAAAAAAACCTGATAACAAGGAATGTGACTACCACGGAAGTTGAAACTACAGCCAAACAGTGGTTCAGATCGACTGGCGATCGAGGAGGAGGTCGAGAAAAAAGAAGACAAAAAAATTAATTAATATTTAAGTTTTTTACCAGTTTATGTTAAATAAATAAATACGTATTGAATAAATAATATTAAAAAAATTGTTTCATATTGTTAATAACAAACAGTTTAATATAACTTTCAGGTCCAGTCAAATTGCGATTCAGTAGCACCATTCTGGTAAGTTGATACTATCTAAATGAATATATTCTATAATAGAATGCCTTCTGTTTTAGTATAGAATTTATGGTTTAAACAGTACTACTGATCAAAGAGGAGCTCGATGGACTGGTCTGTCTGGTTGTGTGCCTTTTATTGGCACATGGCCTTTATTTAGCAGTCAGTATTAATATGGTAAAAGGCCAACAATTTTCCATAAAAAGCCATTAATTGCCAATATGTTTATTTCTACATACATTAAAGGGGAAATGAAGGCCCATTAATTGGTTATGATGGCAAAGTGACTTCGACCTGACTGTCGACCTATATATGCCAGCCTTTTAATTAAAAGAGCCAAATGGCCATCAATGTAATTGGAGGGTGATAGTTATTAATACTAATAATAATAATATTAATGCTTTATTTTCTTTATGACAAACATAGTTTGTATAAAATTGGTCAAATTATAAATATATTCTTAACCTAACTAACCTAAAGGGAGACAACAAATGACAATCGAAAAACAATTTACATTAAAGTTTAAATACAATGTTATGTTATGTTGATAATGGGGTGTTAATACACTGCGACCTAAAAGATCTATTGTGCCCCCTTCTGTCGCCACTGCACTAAGGAAATAGCTCAATGCCTATAGCGACCCTTCCAATCCTATTTTCTCAAGGAAGTGTAGGATTTGAAGTGGCTTCAAGTTAGGTAAGTCTCCCTCTTCTATTTGATATCCTCCTAGATATAGTGCCCTTGGATTCTGGAGTACTACACATTCAGTTAGGATGTGAATGGAGGTTTCGTCCTCCTCCTCACAGAATCTGCACTCACTATCCTCTACTACTCTCAGTTTACTTAGGTGTCCTTTTAGTCGGCAGTAACCGGTAAGGATCCCTGTTACAATACGTAGCCTGTTCTTGCTCAGGTAAATACAATGTTAGAATTGGCCATTTTAATAATATAATATTTATTTTATGACAAGAATAATTCGTATGAAATTAGTCAATATTTAAAATATAATCTTAAACTTAAACTAGATAACCCAACTAAAGAGAAAATAATTAAAAATTTAAAAGATTTAGACATTTAAAAATTCACTTACGGAATAAAAGCCACCCTCATGTAAAAATCGTTTTATTGCTAATTTAAATGAATTTACAGATTTACAAGATTTAAGGTGAGAAGGCAAATTAATAAATAAGGCATTACCCTTTGAAAATGATATATAAAGATCATTACGATTTCTTGTATTTAAATTAAGAACTATTTAAATTACTAAATACAAATAAACAAACTTCTAAAAAATATAAACAAGGTGATAGTAAAAGTTTAAATTTTGTAAAATATTCTCTACAACTGGTTGTGCGAGAAATACCAGCAATACACCGAATTATTATCTTTTGTGAAATAAAAACATCATTAGGATATGTGGATATACCGCAGAAACAGATACCAAACGCGATTCAGCATGTGCATAGTACATGATTAGCTCTTTTTCGGTTAAAACTGTTTTAAAATTTCTGAATAAGTAATTTACTGAGTTTAGTTTTGAAGTGACTGTCTCGCAATGTTTGTTCCAGTCAAAGCATTCATCAATGTATAAACTAAAGAATTTTATACATCGAGTATCGTCAATTTTTCTGTTATTCATGATAACTTGAGTGAGCTAATTTGCTTTTGTTTATTATGAAATTGTATTAAATAGATTTTTTTGCATTTAAATAAAGAGAATTCATACAGAACCATTGAAACAGATTAGAACAAACCTGGTTGCATTTTTGTCAGAGACAAGAGCTGATGTGTAATCTCTATATAGTGTAAAATGTAAATTTTGAGTAATTTTAACCAAATCATTCACATATACCAAAAATAAGATTGGGTCTATAATAGACCCTTGTGGCACACCAATATTGGTATAAACATAGTCGGATTTGTAAGTTTTTATTACCTTATTATTTATGGAAAGTCTAACGTTTTGTCGACTGTAACGTTCATATGAGCTGAAAATAATCATAATTTAATGAACGTGTGACATAGTAAATTTATATGGTTTATCGTTTAAGATTTTTACTAAATTTTAAGAATAAAAGCATGTCTTTGGGGGGTGGGTTGGCTCAGTGATTAGAGTCATGACTTTGAGATCGGAAGGTCTCAGGTTCGAATCCCACCGTTGGCCGGGATTTTTTTATTTAATTTAATTATTTAAAATTAATTCTGATGCCTTGGTAGGATTCCCCACTCGACCATTCACTGTTGGGTTCTAATTAACAGTGCTGTTCCTAAAGTGCCGCTGGGAAACAGTTACAAAGCCTACACAGAACACGAGGCTAATGGCCGTAGTAGTCGACGCCGATGACACCAAATTAAAAAAAAAAAAAAAAAAAAAAAAAAGCATGTCTTTTTATCACAAATAAATTAAATAGTATTTCAGTTATAAATACCATTTGTTTAGTTTTAACTTGACAACTAGTAGCTACGTTTTTCAAGTAATTCTTAAGTCCGTTCTTTCGAGGTGCTGGTTACACCAGTACCACTCCGAAGTGACTGGTATGGTTTCTCAATGGCCGACTCATACTTCCGTTTCTCGTCTTTTCGGTCTCATGACTTTTGTGTTCTCTGGAGCACAGGCGGAAACGATCAAGTCAAGGTATACCATTTCATCTTTG